CACATGATTTGACCTAGAATATAGCCACATTTATGGCATATTGAGATAACTCATGACAGATTTTTTTCATTGAACCAATCCTTTGCTATAAATAACCACTGAAGAAAATCTTGTTCTAGTGAAAATGATAATGCCACCTTAGTTTTGCACTTAGTCAATGCATAGAATTTCTAGACTCATGACTTTTTAAGTTCTTTGTGTTTACTAGTTTACTGTTAACTTTCAGTTCTTTTTATTTGATTTTAGGGCTCTAACATCTTTAACATTTAAACCTGATAACTTCAGGATATTTTGTTAACGTTTAACATTATTTTGACCCAGGCAAGGTTGTTGCAAAGAGTGCCAGTTCTTGGGACTACAGTGCAGATATCTTGTCACTAGATAGATTGGGGAATAGGGCATGCTGACTCAGGAATGACATTATCTGTGGCAAGATAGAAAATTGTACTTTATAAAGTGGGTTTATTTTTGTACTTGAATTTCCCTTATAATTCAGCTTTTGTTCTTCCTTAGTGTTTATTAAAATATTTCAAAAGTTAAAAAAGTAAGAATGGGGTCTGATATTATTTTATATCTCATTCTGTTTATAAGGTTCAATCAATAAGACAACCAACAAATATTTATTGAGCTAATAATATATTTTAGCTATATCAGCTATTACTATCATAAGCCATGGATAGAGTAGATCAGACATCATTCTTGCCCTCAGGGTTACTTTGCTTTTTATTTTTATTTCTTTAATTAATTTTAGAGAGAGAAAGGGGGAGAGACACAGACAGAAAGACAGACATCTATTTGTTGTTCCACCTATTTATGCATTCATTAGTTGATTCTTGTATATGCCCTGTCTGGAGATTAAATCCACAACCTTGGCATATAGGGACAACACGCTAACTAACTGAGCTACCTGGCCAGAGCAAGTCTTGTGTTTTTTATTGTTGTTAATCCTCACCCGAGGATATTTTTTTCCATTGATATTTAGAGAGAATGGGAGGGAGAGGCAGAGAGAAAGAGAGAGAGAGAGACACACACAGACATCAATGTGAGAGAGAGACATCCATTGGTTGCCTCCTTCACTCACCTGACCCGGGCTGGGGATTGAACCTGCAACCCACCAGGTATATGCCCTTGCCCAAGAATCAAACCCAAGACCCTGCAGTGCTCGGGCCGATACTATAACCACAGAACCACACAGGCCAGGACCAAGTCTTATTTTTTAATTACTGTACACCTTTGAAGATTTCTTAAGGCTAGAGACCATGTGTAGATCACTAATCAGTTGTGAAAGTTTATTCTTATATTATTATTTATTAATTATAGTATTATTTTCCATATGAACAACTGTAAAGCTACTTTTGCCCCACTGTGTATACCTGAATGAGTTTGAGACCCATTATGAACATGTTCGTTCTCTTGAGTCAACAAATATTTTTTAATTAAATGCCCCTCTATCCTAGATACTGTGTCAGTTATTTAGGATACAAACATAAGTAAAACTGAGAGCATAAAAGTGTTTAACCAAGGACCTAACATTGTTTTTTCCTCTCCCCTAAGTCTCATGTTTTGGATTATTTACTCTGAAAGTTTATTTATTAAATTGATTTTTCCATTTAAAAAATAAATTGATCTTAGCATAATGGTTAGCATGAGACAGCCTTCAGTGAGGTGATATAATTTTTCACCAAAACAGTCCTAACTGGAGTAAAAATATATTTCCTTTAGGTGGTTTTTATTTTTTTAATTGAAAGTGCTCCTGAATTCCCTTTATTACCTCTCCCAAGGTTTGACTATCTTATGTCATCCCTGGGTGAGATATCCTTTCCTGGTTTAACATTCTGATTCCATAATACTAAAGTCTTTTTGCCCCTTCTCTGTCCCTGTTCATTGACATAATAGATTATATGATTAAACTTGAGCTACCTTATCCTAGAAAGCAGCTCTGATACTTTGGAAAGATGAAAGGATGGAGATTCCTGCAGGTCATAGTTAAACTGTGCCCTTAGAAAACATCTATATTTGCCCAGCCAGCATTGCTCAGTGGTTGAGCATCAACCCATGAATTCTATCTCTATCTCCCTTTCCCTTCCTCTCTCTGAAATCAATAAAAAAAGAAAAGAAAGAAAGAAAACATCTGTATTTGAAAAATCAAATTAATCTAGTTGTATAGATCACTAACTAAGCTATGGCAAGAATATAATTAGTTTTTTAGTACTGGAAAATTTGAATTCTGTTTTGAGTTGGAAGTCTCTTTCCCACCCACCCCCCCTTTTTTTAAGTAGGGAATAATTAATGTGCCTGGTGTTTTCAGTTAATGTTTATTGAGAGGTAGCATAATTATGTTCAGTTATCTCAGTGATGCTAAAAGTAATCATTGTTTTTATGCTATGAAGACTATCAGTTTCAAGAGAAGTTTGCAAAAGTGAAGCTTTGTTTTGGACATAGATGTACCCTTTTTTACTCACTGTTTCTCAAAATTGTATGTAATCACTATTTTAATAAATGAAATTATATTTAAATGCACTAACATATAGCTTACTATAGAGACCTATTTTGGATAGTTGTGCAAGTCAGAGAATAGTCATCCTAGTTTTGTGTTACTCTTGATTTTCACATATGTATTTAAGTCGCTTAAAGTGAGAAAAAAAATAGATTTAAAGATGTTAGCTCAGTTTTATCAATTTAATGGCCTTTTAGAAAATTTACTTTATTTGGTTGCTTTTATACTTATTTTTGCTTTATTAGGATTAGATTTTAAAAACAATTTTAAACATCTTCAAAGGACAATTTCAGACATTTTTAAGCCTTCGAGTCATATATGCATTGGCTCTACAAATGTTCTGTGTCTCTCCCACTCCTCATGCCAGAAGTTTAAAGTGGTAATATTAAATATTTGTAATAAATATTTGTTGTTGAATGAATCTTAGTAAGTGAAAGGCAGTAGAGATAAATTACGTTCTTACATCTGTTGACTATCCAACCAGTTTTTAATCACTTTGGAAGCTTCAGTTCTAATTTATTTCTATAGGAAGCCATGTGCCTTCAGTGTAGGTGATTACCAGATTTTGGTTGTCCTTTAATATGTTTTTCCCAATTGTTCTATTCCTGGATTTTGTCTCTTTAAGAGTGGTGTTTCTTAAAAGAAAAAAAAAATAGTATTTCTCTACATCCCAGGTCTTTGGGGCCAATTTTGAAGATTGGTATATCTTTAACTGTTTTAAAATCAAAACTAATTCATGAGGGATGGTTCTCAGAAACAGAGGGCAATCAAAGGATTTTTATTTTTGGCCTTACTCTCCAGTTATAAATCATATACCTTTATATTTTAGCAAGAGATACATATATGAACATTTAGCATTTTTGTCATTGTAGAAGTAAAACTGCCTTTTAAAATATAGAAAGTACAATTCTAGTTGGTCAATAAAACATGATTTAAAGTTTTTTCTCTTCAAAAAAATTTTATTGAGATTCAACATTATATTAGTTCTAGCTGTACAATATAATTTTATATGTGTATATATATTTAAAGTTTTTATTTAAAAATATGAGTATCAGTTTTTCCCTCATTACGTGAATTCAGTATTGGCACATTCTAGATTTGATATGCTTTCTTTTTTTCTTTCCCCTCTCTAGTTGGCCAGATCAAAGTCATAGCATCTATAGATCTTTGGCTGAGGAAGACAATTTCTTTGTAGGAAAGTATTTAGTATTTTGATTGAAGTTCCCTTCTTTGGAGTGAAATAAGCAAAATGTTCTTAATGATTTTAAGAAATATTTGCCCCCTTCAAAAGAAACCAAGAAATAGGGAACCTGGATAGAGAGTTCAATTTATTTTTAAAAGAAGTTGAATTTTCTAGAGAATATCATATTAACAAACATTCAGTTGCTACCTACCTTTTGAAATTCATCACTGAGTTGTTATTCATGTGTTCCACCGTGGTGTTCTTTATGATAGGATTTATCATTGATCATAAATGAATAAATTGAGGGGATTTTTTTTTTTTTAATGCTATAACTTCTTCCTGTATGTCTGGAACCTCTTAATCGAAAAAAATTACTACTTGGCCTGGGCAGTAATGTCACTTTCAGATTGTTTTTAAAGCCAACCTTTTTCTTTTCTGTGAGTCACTTCTGAGTGGACTAACTGAAATTTGATAGCCCTTTTGATGCCACTTTCTCTGGAGTTCCTGGTCTCATTCAAAGCTTGACTTTGTTGTATGCAGAAAGATGTTGGCAGGCCTGGGAAGAATTCATTAAAAGACAACAAATTCCCGGGTTTCGGCACCAAAAGAAAAAAAAAGACAACAAATTCTAAGGAAAACTAATTCAAGAGTTTTACTCATTCATAGCAGAACTCAAATGCACATAGTTTTCTAGGCACTGAAGATCTAAGGTTATTTTCCAGACCTTTTACTCATATCTATATATGTATCTATATCTATAGATATCTATATCTATAGATATCTATAGATATAGATACAGATATTTTTTTAGGAAGGTCTTGATGACTCCCCTCCTGCCCCTCAAATCCTCTTAGCTTTCTTTTAGTGAAGCAGATGACTTCATCACTGTTCAGCTGATCTTTGATATTACTTCTTTAAAGAAAAGTCCCGCCTTGGGCCCTGAATACTGATTTAGCAAAATGAGTAGTTAAATGAGAAATTGGAAGCTAGAGCTAGTTCTCTCACTTTGAAAGAACACCTTCTCGCAGCCCCTGCATAATTAAAGAGGAGGTTGTTTATGTTCTCAAGTAGCAGCACAAAAATCTCACACCCTGGTCCAGTATGAAAATAACTGCTGTAGCACAAAGTGCCCTTCCTCTGTCCCCAGCTGAAATTGGGGGAGGGACAAAGCCCAATTGTTACTTTACCCCCTCCCATCTGCCTGCTAGAAGGCCTGTTTCCCACCCTAATTGGTTTCTGCCTAACAAATGGTGTTTCTTTTTTACAGCATTATGATCCTGGACTTGTTGTGGTGATGGTAAACTTAGCAGTGGTAATTTTTTATTTTCAGACTGAATACTCCTTTTGTCATCAGTGCACCAATATGTTAGGCTTACTTTCTCTGTTGTAGCCTTCATCCTTCTGCTTGGTCTTTTTCATTTTCCTTTCCTTTCCTTATGCAACTTGTCTGATCCTCGTTCATTAAAGGGTAATGTTAAGAAGGGATGTATCTGTTTGTGTTAGAAGTGAAAAAAAAATCAGTTAAAACATTAAATTTTAATACTGTCAAAAACTTGATTTCCCCACAATGTAATGGGCACTAGCACTTGCTACTGCAATTTATAAATAAATTAAAACAAACTTTGACTGCCTTAGAAGGCAAAAGTACTAATGCAGAGTTTATAAACAGGGGTTTACAGAGCTAATGAATTTATACCAAAACTTTCTTGATTCTTGCATGACAAATTCTGACAGACAAAAAAAGATACCAAAACAACAAAAAAGTAAATTTCCTTTGTTATTTATTTTTTCAATTCTTTCATTGGACCATTTGTTTTTACCAGTAAATCCCTGGTTGAGACGTTATGAAAGTGATATTGCACCTAGGAAGTCATTTTTATAACCTGTCTTAATTTGGTCCTTTTGCTAAAGATTGCAGTCACTGCTTATTTATTATACCATTGGGCATAAGGTAATAACACATTTTCATTTTGTTTAACTGGCAGTCTTTGATAGTATCTAAAAGAAGGCTGTATTTTAGAACTTTTTTTCTGGCATTAGAGGCTCTTTATTTACTTAAACTTTTTTTCACTATAATAATTATTCCTAATTATCTCCTTATTGTTTAAAACATAGTGGGATATTGGTGATAAGTAAACTTCTGAATTTGTTTTTATTATTATTTTTAATAAAAACTAATCCCACAGTTATAGAGCAACTAGGTGCAAGTGGTTGCTGGTCCCTTTGAAAACAGTTTCTTCTTTTTTGTCCAGGACCAAACCTAGTCATAATCATGGCATCTGTTACTATTTTTTTAATTTGATTTTGGTAATACCTCAAATTTAGCCTGACAAAACTTAACTTTTAGCCCAAAGGTATAATATACATGTGTGTATAACAAAAACAAAAAAACCAAAAAAAAAACAATTGTTTACACCAGGCTGAGTGAAATGATGAGGGAAGTAAACATTGTGTTTTTTCACTAAAGGTGTACAACGGATAAGGTAAGTCCTCTTATCAGTGGGCTTACATCACAATAAACAGCGCAAGTTGTGATGTAAAACAGCTGTGGTAGTAAAGTGCTTGTCTGCCCCATTTTGCTTTGTTTGGCTGGTTATGAGTGGATTAAATATACATTTTTTAAAAATCTTCAGCATAGATCGACTAGATTAAAGTCAATTTTCTTCGCAACTAGTCCTTTTCACAGCTTACTGATTACCACAGGCAGTGTTAAATCCACTTTGGAAAATGGGACCTCAGCTCACCAGTTCAAAAGAAACACTGTTCTTTGTTTCTATTTAAATTTTTCGTAGCCCCACTGAACTGTACACCATCTTTTGAAAACAAAACAAAAAATATTAAACACACTGAGTTGCAATTACAGTTTTCCTGAATCATGTTTGAAACTGCTTTTTTGATTTAAGCATGTCAGTTGAAATATTTATTACCAGTTTTAAAAGTGTGTATGGGAGGATGTCAGTGAACAGTAAGAGTGAAGTGATTCTTGATGAAAAGTTATTTTAAACCTCCTGGGGCCATTGCTTAGAAATGCTTTGCATTACATAATTTTGTCATACTAATCTGGAATTATTCTCACTGGACGGACAATTAAGGTGGTTAATTGGGCTTAAACTGGGAGAGGTAGGTTTGGTTGTAAGCTGTGAGAATGGCTTGTGTTTGGTTCACTGTAGCTTTCTGGTCTCTGCACTCCAAGGCAAGATCTCTAACCACCCAAACCCAATGTGTAAAGTGAGCTTTTGGCTTGGCTTAGCTTTGCATCTTACCTTGATTATGTGTTCCTGTTACAGGGAGAACAGATCCCATTCCAATTGTTTTCAAGTATGATGTCATGGGCATGGGTCGCATGGAAATGGAGGTAAACTGATCTCATAAGCTCACTTGTTTTATGGAATATTTAAAATTGATATTAATTCCAAATTCAGATGCCAGTGCAAGAATACATTTATTAGATCGAATGTAGTTTTAATATTTTTCTTGGAAACTTAAAATTATATTTTACATTTTTACTTAGTGCTGCCATTGAGGTAGGTAGGTAAGTGGCAAATAAAAACTGTTATAATTGAGGCATAAAGAAATTCAGTGGTTTGCCCAGGGTTATGCCACAGACCCTGGTACTCATTTCAATAGGCAGTGTTGCTTAACTCTTAAAATATTTGCTATGGTAGAAGATTTGTCCTTATAGAGATGTGTATAGCTGTGGTATCTTCATTGGCTAAAATATTTTCTCCATTTACTCCTAATTCTTTGACATAGACTGCTGAATTAAAGTCTGTTATAAAAAAAAAAAAAATGTGCCTGTTGGGAACCACCAGCATGAAAGGATTAATGAAATTTTCTACATGCTATTTTCTCTGTAGGTGACAATAAAACAAGAGGTTACTGAGCAAAATACAGAGCTTTTTATTTTCATCCAGTACTGTAGTTTGTGCAAATGACTTTTTAAATTGCTAATTGGGGATACTTTAGGAATTAAGACTAATTATATCTTATTTTATTAAGCTCGATTATGCCGAAGATGCTACCGAACGGCGCCGTGTCCTAGAAGTGGAAAAAGAAGACACGGAAGAATTAAGACAGAAGTACAAGGTACTTAAATGAAGCTTTTCTTGCATTTGGGGTATTCACACTGAAAGATATTTTCAGTGAAAAGGATCTCTGTTAACAGCATTTGTTTGACATTTGGTGGTGATTAGTAGTCTCAAGTTTTTAAACTTTCCTATTTATTGCCTTTGTAAAAACTACAGAGTTAATAATACCCACTTCATGTGTTTGTTGGGAAGATTGATTGCATCTGTGTTTGAAAACACAGTGCTTCTTAATAGCAGTAAAAATTATTAACTTAAGAGTCTTTGGAGAGGAGGGAGTCCTTTGAGAGCTTGATACCTTTTTTTTTTTTTTAATATATATTTTATTGATTTTCCACAGCGAGGAAGGGAGAGGGATAGAGAGTTAGAAACATTGACGAGAGAGAAGCATCTATCAGCTGCCTCCTGCACACCCCCTACTGGGGATGTGCCTGCAACCAAGGTACATGCCCTTGACTGGAATCGAACCTGGGACCCTTCAGTCCCCAGGCCGACGCTCTACCCAGTGAGCCAAACCGGCCAGGGCAGAGCTTGATACCTTTTGATAAACCTTTTCTCTTCCTTTTTTTGAGCCTTTTCTTTTTTAATGGGTGAGATGTTTTAAGAGTAGCAAACAGATTGAGAACTTCATTCAGTATTTTTCTTTTTAAGGGACTAACTTATAAGAAAACTGCATCTTAGAACATGTTATAATTTAGCCTTCAAAAAGACTGACCAGGAAACATGTTTTTCAAGATGTTCTAGTATGCCCAATCTCTACCATAAAATAGGTAAATTTGTAAATAAGAAGCAGGTTTAGCTAAGGTTATCATAAAAACTGGTTTGGTGCCCGGCTAGATTGAGGATTGACCTATGAACCAGGAGACCATGGTTTGATTCCCAGTCAGGGCACTTGCCTGGGTTTTGGGCTAGGTCCCCAGTAGGGGGCATGCAGAAGGCAGCCAATCAATGATTCTCTCTCTTCATCGATGTTTGTCTCTTTGTCTCCCCCCCTCCCTTCCACTCTTTCTTTAAACACACACACACACACACACACACACACACACACACACACACGGGAGCCCTAGCTGGTTTGGCTCAGTGGATAGAAGGTCAGCCTACAGACTTAAGGGTCCCAGGTTCGATTCCAGTCAGGGGCACATGCCTGGGTTGCGGGCTGCATGCAGAAGGCAGACGACCAATGGTTCTCTCTCATCATTGATGTTTCTATCTCTCTCTCCCTTCCTCTCCGAAATCAATAAAGGTATATTAAAAAAAAACAACTGCCCTAACTTGTTTGGCTCAGTGGATAGAGCATCAGCCTGCGGACTCAAGGGTCCCAGGTTCGATTCCGGTCAAGGGCATGTACCTTGGTTGCGGGCACATCCCCAGTGGGGAGTGTGCAGGAGGCAGCTGATCGATGTTTCTCTCTCATCGATGTTTCTAACTCTCTATCCCTCTCCCTTCCTCTCTGTAAAAAATCAATAAAAAATATACTTTAAAAAAAAAAAAACAATGGAAAAATATCCTCGTGTGAGGTGTGTGTGTGTGTGTGTGTGTATAAAGTAAATCCTCACCCAAGGATATGTTTTTATTGATTTTAGGGAGAGAGGAAGTGAGCGGGAGGGAGAAAGAGACAGTTGCCTCCCATACACACCCCAACCTGGGATCGAACCCAAAACCTGGGTATGTGCCCCAACCAGGAATTGAACCCATGACCTTTTGGTGTACAAACTGACGCTGCAACCAACTGAGCTAAACTGGCCAGGGCTCTGAGAGTAGTTTTGATTCTCTCTGCCAAGACTCAGATCTTGGGACCTCTCCAGCCCTCTTGTAGGTTCTTTTGCTTATTACATGAGACTTCTCATGTTTAGCTCCCCCACCTGACTAAGACCTTAGTGCCACTGTCAGCCATTGTCCTAAGGAGAGCCCTTGGCTATCACAGCTCTGATTTCAGCTTAAGGTCATAGTTGATTTTTTTGTTTTGTTTTGTTGTTTTTCTTCTTCCATTGCCCTTCTCGGGGATTTACTTTTCTATGTTTTCTTCAATGCAATAAAAATGGTTTGTTATATCTGATTGGTTGATTTTTAGTTTTTGAAATATATTTTTATTGATTTCAGAGAGGAAGGGAGAGGGAGAGAGAGATAGAAACATCAGTGATGCAAGAGAATCGTTGATTGGCTGCCTCCTACTGGGGATCGAGCCCACAACCCAGCATGTGCCCTTGACCAGAATCGAACCTGGGACCCTTCTGTCCTCAGGCTGACGCTCTATCCACTGAGCCAAACTGGCTAGAGCGATTGGTTGGTTTTTTTAAGCCAGGGCTAAGAATCGGGGATGCCACAGTAAACTCATTTGAACGTTTATTTGAAGACAACTGTTAGTACAACCACACACAAATTACCCCACTAAATTTATGAAAAACCCTTTTTTTCTCTTCAGGTAAGACTACTACTTTACAACATTCACTTTAAAATTCTACCAAGTTCAATTTTTGTTTATATTTTGTGGTTCTTACAGGATTATGTTGACAAAGAGAAGGCAATTGCTAAAGCGTTGGAAGACCTCAGAGCCAACTTTTACTGTGAACTCTGTGATAAGCAATATCAGAAACATCAGGAGTTTGACAACCATATCAATTCCTATGATCATGCACACAAGCAGGTAAGGAATAGTTATTTGCTAACAAAAGAAAAAGATACTTTATTGTTAAAACAATTGAATTTTGAGTGGACCCAAAAAACTTGGAGACTGGTTTCTTGTATCTGCCAGTTTTTATATGAAGTCATCTGACTTTTTTTTCCATGACAGAAGTCCTGACATAGACCTCCCCCTTCCAATTTATGTAGAGTGAAGAATTGTGAACTTCATAAATCTTGCATAAAATTTTTGGTTTGAGTGATTTCTAAATTTGTATTTGATTTGGTAATTCAACTAAGGATTGCTGGGAGCTTTTCTTTCCCCCACTTTATGAATTTGTGAAACTTTGAACAGTTATCCCAGGCTGGTTATTTCATCTTCTGTATAGAAGAGTTCTTGCTTTATTAGGTACTCTTTCCTATCAGTAAATCATTTTGTTATACTCTTGGAAGGTAGATAAATCTTGAGAAGGAAAATAATATTAGATGCTATCTTTAACAAAAAACTGATGCTGCTCCTAGGCGGTTTGGCTCAGTGGATAGAGCGTCGGCCCTCGGACTGAAAGATCATAGGTTTGATTCTGTTCAAGGGCCACACGTACCTCGGTTGTGGGCTCAGTCCGCAGCCCTGGTCTGGGCCTCTGCAGGAGGCAACCAATTGATGTGTTTCTCTCTCTCTCTGTCTCTCCCACTTCTTTCCAAACTCTAAAAGTCAATGGAAAAATAACCTCGGGTGAGGATTAACCAAAAAACAAATGAAACAAAAAAACTGATGCTACATGTTGAAAAGCTTGCTGAAAAATGAATTACACTTTCTTTGCAATCTTTTTTAAAAAATTTATTTAGGGGGGGAAAAAAACAGTACCTAATGAATTACTGGCATAAAGAAGGCAGCAATACTCCCAGGGGATTTTAGAAGGAGGAAATTAATCTTTATATCTACAGCACAGTTCTGGCTTATTAAAGAATTGTGAGCCATTTGATCTTGGGTGACTTTAGCATAACTTTTTCAGTTTTGGGGGGGTACATAGTTGTATTTGTTAAGTTTGTAAGATTTATGGGCTTTACTGGAATGCTCTTGTAAGCTGAACCTGTTAAACCAACATTTTTTTAACTGTTGCTTTATTTTTCAACCAATGAAAGATTTCAGAGCACAGGTAAAAGGCAGGCTTTGACTAAGCTTTACTTTTACTACCACAGGGATACTTTTCAAGCTGGTTGAAGTATTATACTTTATGCAACAATCTCTTCCACATTTAACCACATCTAACCAATTCAAGATTCTTTTACTGATAGACTTTTATTTAAGACAGATTTTCAACATTTTATACACGTTTGGACATTATTTTAATATATTGTTAGCTCTGCCTGATTTGAAGAAGAGAAATTGAAAGAGCATAGACAGGATGGGGTAAAAGTGGGTTTATAATTGTGAGTGTGCAAAACACAGAATTTATTATTTTTAAATACACACATATATGTTATTGATTTCAGAAAGGAAGGGAGAGAGAGATAGAAACATCAATGATGAGAATCATTAATTGGCTGCCACCTGCACGCCCCCCACTGTGGATCAAGTGCACAACCTAGGCATGTGCCATTGGCCGGAATCAAACCTGGGACACTTCAGTCTGCAGGCCGACGCTCCATCCATTGAGCCAAACCAGCTAGAGCCAGAATTTATTCTTGTGTTATTATTTATTAACTAGAGGCCTGGTGCACAAAAATTTGTGCACCTGGTGGGTGTGGGGGGTCCCTCAGCCCGGCCTGTGCCCTCTTGCAGTCTGGGACCCCTCAGGGGATGTCCACCTGCTGGCTTAAGCCCGCTCCCGCGGGGGGGGGGGGGGGGGCAGATCGGGCCTAAGCTGGCAGTCAGACATCCCTCTGGCAACCTGGGAGCCCTCGGGGAATGCCCACTTGCCAGCGGGGAGCAGGCCTAAGCTGTATTCGGACATCCTTAGTGCTGCTGAGGAGGCGGGAGAGGCTCCTGCCACCACCACTGTGCTGGCAGCCGTCAGCCTGGCTTGTGACTGAACAGAGCTCCCCCTGTGGGAGCACACTGACCACCAGGGGGCAGCTCCTGCATTGAGCATCTGCCCCCTGGTGGTCAGTGTGTGTCATAGTGACCAGTCATTCCCAGTCGTTTTGCTGTTAGGGTCAGTTTGCATATTACCCTTTTATTATATAGGATGGAGGCCTGGTGCATGGGTTGGGGCTGGCTGGTTTGCCCTGAAGGGTGTCCCGGATCACGGTGGGGGTCCCACTTGGGTGCCTGGCCAGCCTGGGTGAGGGGCTGATGGACATTTTCAGGCTGGCCACACCCCCCGCGACCCAAGCTCCCAGCCTCTCCTTTTTTTCTTTTTTCTTTTTTTCTGGGATTTATTTATCTTTTATAATTGAAACTTTGTAGCCTTGAGCGGAGCTCAGTGCCTGCCAGAGCAGGCGGAAAACTTGGCTTCCTCCATCGCTGGGGGCAACCCATGCCTGCTGCTTGCTCCAGCTCCGTGCCCGCCACCATCTTTATGACTGAGTGACAGAGTGATGGTTAATTTGCATATTACTCTTATATTAGATGGGATTATTATTTCCCATTTGAGCAACTGTAAACCTGCTTTTACTCCACCCTGTATATGGACAAGATATATTGGCAGTTGCCTTACTCCTTTAAAGAATGATCTGCCAAGAAAGAAGAATGCAACAGTGAATAATACTTAGTAACTTTTGCAGCTTTTCAGTGTATATATAATTCAAACTTTGGGGTTATTTTTTATGGATTTAAGAAAGACATTTTATGCCTAATTATATATTTATCTTTTTGGGCTCTTGAGAATTTCTTCAATTAAGTAGTCTCTGTGATTAATCAAAAACATTCCAGAAGAAACGTTAGGGACCAAGTGGACATTTAGAAAAGTTACATTTTAATTGATGAGAAGTCTCTTGAGTAAAGTTTTAATTATAAAAGAATAAACCAGGAAAAATGTAATTCAAATTTGAATAATGCGTACACTTGCCTTTTAAGGGGGAAATCCATCAAAGCAAAAGCTAAAAAAATGGATTTACTATTAAATGTAGAACTAATAAAATTCACATTGACAACATTAATATGATGGATGATAATGTTTTAGTGGTATTTCTTTCAACTTGAGAGAAGTAGAGATTGCTACAGTTCTGGTTCATTTGAATTTGACCTGTTTATTCTCCTGTGCACTTTGGTTTGACTTCGTTCTCTCATCACTTTTCCTATTGCAGTGGGAGATTTTGTCCCCCAGGGGATACTTGGCAATGTCTGGAGACATTCTTATAAGTACCGCGCGCTAACCGATTGCGCCACTGGAGCTCCTGGAGACATTCTTTATTATCACAACTAGGGGAACAGGGTTACTGTCATCTAGTGGTGGAGGCCAAGGGTGCTGTTAAACATCCTACAATGCACAAAAAAGTTCCTTGCAACCAAGAATTACCTGGCCCAAAATGTCAATCAGCAGTGTTGAGGTTGAGAAACCTATTCTATTAGGAAGACTAAAAACTTTCAAATGTATATGGTTTTGTGATATCATTTGGCCTTTGCTTGGTACAAACAAATCTCTATCATTTTAACTCCCCAGTTATCAATATTTATAAAGTGCTCATTTAGATTATCTCAAATATTCATTTATTACTCTTTTTTCTATATCATCAAAATGAAAATACAAAATTAAGGATTTCTTATAGAGAATTTATGGACTACCTTATCCATTAATATAGAGTACTAGAAGCTCAGTGCACGAAATTCCTGCACAGGTAGGGTACCTAGTGGCTGCCAGCTGCCAGCCAGGACCTTCCTTTGTTCCACACCGCCGCCTGGTGGTCAGTGCACATCATAGCATGCGATCAAACTCCTGGTCGGTAGAACTCCTGAGGGGACACTTTGCATATTAGGCTTTTATATATATAGACTAGAGGCCCAGTGCACAAAAATTTGTGCACTCGGGGGGAGTCCCTCAGCCTGGCCTGTGCCCTCTTGCAGTCTTGGACCCCTTGGGGGATGACCACCTGCTGGCTTAGGCCCGCTCCCATGGGGATTGGGCTTAAGCTGGCAGTCAGACATCCCTCTGGCAGCCTGGGAGCCCTCAGGGGATGTCCACTTGCCAGCGGGGAGCAGGCCTAAGCTGCAGTCAGATATCCTTAGTGCTGCTGAGGAGGCAGGAGAGGCTCCTGCCACCACCGCTGTACTGGCAGCTGTTAGCCTGGCTTGTGGCTGAGTAGAGCTCCCCCTGTGGGAGCACACTGACCACCAGGGGGCAGCTCCTGCATTGAGCATCTGCCCCCGGTGGTCAGTGTGTGTCATAGTGACCAGTCATTCCCAGTCGTTCTGCTGTTAGGGTCAATTTGCATATTACCCTTTTATTATATAGGAGTGCCTGGCCAGCCTGGTGAGGGGCTGATGGCTGTTTGCAGGCTGGCCACAGCCCCTCAGTGTGGGGGTGCCCTTTGGGGTGCCTGGCCAGCCTCGGTGAGGGGCTGAGAGCCGTTTGCAGGCTGGCCATACCCCCTTCAGGGTGGGGGTGTGGGTCCTGCTGGGGTGCCTGGCCAGCCTGGGAGAGTGGCTAATGGCAGTTTGTAGGCTGGCCAAGCCCCCCAGCGGGGACCCTCACCCCATGAGGGTGTGGCCATGCTGGGTGAGTGGCTGATGGCTGTTTGCAGGCTGGCCACAGCCTCTTCAGGGTGGGGATCCCCACTGGGGTGCCTGGCCAGCCTGGGTGAGGGGCTGACGGCCATTTGCAGGCTGGCCACAGCCCCTTCAGGGTTGGGGGTCCTGCTGAGGTGCCTGGCCAGTCTGGGTGAGGGGCTGAGGGCCGTTTTCAGGCTGGCCAAGCCCCCCAGCGGGGACCCTCACCCCATGAGGGTGTGACCATCCTGGGTGAGGGCTGATGGCTGTTTGTAGGCTGGCCACAACCACCCAAGCTCCCAGTGGAGGCTGGCTGGAAGTAGGTATCTGGGATTTATTTGTCTTCTATAATTGAAACTTTGTTGCTATGAGCAGAG